CTCATACCTGTGTAGTCCCCCCCCCCTTTTATAGTTTGGCTTTTCCCTTTCTACTCCTGTTACCCTCTCCACTTGTAGCTCTACGATGTACTCAAAGCTCAGAACCACATGGTCACTAGCTTCAAGGGGCCTTTCATATGTGATATCCTCAATGTCTGAGCTACTCAGGGTGAACACAAGGTCCAGTCTTGCTGGTTCGTCCTCCCTTCTCTTTCTCTGGTAGTGTCCCTAACATGTTGGTGCATTAGGTTTTCCAGTACCACATTCATCTTCTCGGCTCTCCATGTTTCGGGACTCCCATGTGGCTCCAGGTTTTACCAATCAATCTCCCTGTGGTTGAAGTCGCCCATGACCAGTAACTTCGCTCTACTCGAGTGAGGCCTTCTTGCCACCTCAGTTAGTGTGTCCACCACTGCTCTGTTGCACTCATCATATTCCTCTCTTGGCCTCCTGCAGTTCTGTGGTGGGTTATACATCACTGCAATGACTGCCTTATGTTCCCCTGACTGAACTGTACCTACTAAGTAATCCCTTTCTCTAATCTCGTCCATTCCTTCCATTTCTTGATATCCCCACCGGTTTTTAATGAGCAGTGCAACCCCTCCTCCCCCTCTGCTCCTTCAATCCTTAATCAGGATCTGATATCCGGGTGGGAAGATTGCGTCTGTTATTTTCCCAGTGAGTTCTGTGTCTGTGACTGCTATGATGTCTGGGGACATTTCCTTGATTCTTTCATGCCAATCCTCACATTTATTCGTTATGTGTGTGTGTGTGTGTGTGTGTGTGTGTGTGTGTGTGTGTGTGTGTGTGTGTGTGTGTGTGTGTGTGTGTGTGTGTGTGTGTGTGTGTGTGTGTGTAAGTAGGTAGATATATAGTTAGGTAGTGGACCTAGCACTCGTGTCCACAAACATAACAATACTTACCTCAAATAAATCGGTAGGAACTTCGTTTTTCGTTAGATGTTTTTGTACAAACGCTACGGATTCTTTGTTGTAGGCCTGTGTGGGGAGAGAGATGTGTGAGTCAACAACACTTGTAGCAACACTATTAACACTACATTACATATATAGATAAAACAATAAGGAATATCAAATCAGAAGTATTACGCTGAAGAACGAGATTATATAATGAAAACAAATTAGATACTTTGTAAATATTCCATTAACTAACTCTTACTGCTCTCAACTAACAACGATCTATAAAGAATAAAAAGGCACAATACCCTGACTTCAACAAATAACCCGCACATAGGAGAGAAGAGCTTATGACGACTATTCGACCCAACTTGGACCATTAGCTAGTTACACAGGAGTATGAAGGTAAGGAGCCAGTATATATGGCAATACTTCATTATTTTGATAAAAAATAAAATTCTGCTTTAGCATATTTCAGCGCAAAGGTGATACTAATATGTCTGCAGTATTAAGCAGCACGAGTACAAGCAGGCCCAGCTTTACAGCATTTCGCTAATACAGCGCTTTTTAATTATACCCATTCTTCATTCATTCTGACTTCCTACAATAAATATAGTATTCACCACTCACTATAAGCTAAAGACGAAAATATTTTAAGGCAAGTAATGCCTAGCTACATTGCTCATTAATATATGATAGTGTAAACATATTATCAGGCTTTTAAATGCATTTCTAAGTGAAAAAAAAGCTATGATTCATTTTACAGCAATAGCTCAGAATCTGCTGTAAAAGCGGGGCCCTCCTGTACTAGGGTCACTGTTGTTCCTAAGTTCCATTAATGATATGGAGGGGATAGACCCTTGTGTCCCTTTATTGATCAGGTCAAAACTGATGAGAGATACAAGCATGGGAGGACCGGGTCAGGTTCCGCAGATTATCTGCGCTCCCAGAGCTGTGGACACACAAGTGACAGCGTTTACCGCTAACGGAGAACTCAATCATAATTTCCTTTACCCCATAATTAACTTGTGTTTTTGTTTCAATCATAGGTGGTGATCAGTCAGACAACAACTTAGTAATGGACATACTGGTGAGGCAGGTACACAGGCCTGGTGCTGGTCGTCACCAGTGGTGTGTAAACCGAGGTTTCTACATATGCTCAGTCAGAATTTACACTCGTGTGCTGATGTAACTTTTGCTGTTATTAATTTATAATTTATATTTCCTTACCTTCTCGTTTATTTCTGACAATTTTCATTCTGTTTGTATTTTGTCATATTATTCTTTTGTAACTGTTTCTCTTGTTGTATTGACAACAAATCTGATGATACAATAAATTAGTGAAAAACATTAATAGAATCAATAAAGTACATTATCACTGTAGTATTGATGTTCATCCTACGCCTGCACTTTCCTCCTCATTCACTTCAAATATTCAACATTTTCCTTGAGACATACTTTATCATGTCTATTAAAATATGCACCGAAAAGCAATTATGTATACTGCGCTACATCACAGCACTGGAGAAGGGTGAAGAGGCGGCGGCGGCAGAAGAGGACACGGACGAGGAGGCGGCGAAAGAGGACACGGAAGACGAGGAAAGGACGGAGGAGAAAGACGGGAGAGGTAATAAGAATGCGAAAGGTGGTAAAGATACAGTACATACCTGTGATTTACCTGTGTTTTACCTATGACTGGTTTCGAGAGCTTTTGTACCCTCGTAGCCCACTCTGAGGCTAGGTCTCCCTCTTCACCACACATCAACCAGAGCGTTTGTGCTAGCTGCCTGCATGCCCACATAGCTACCACAAACCAGCTAATCAGGCACTTGTAGCAGTAAACCACTCATCGGTCTACAGATCGACGACCCAAATGAGTTTTTCATGAACAAGACCCAAAAAAGCCACCTTCAAAATTTCTGATGTACCCCCATCCCCAATTGACTTCGAAGGCATTGACAGAATGCCCATGCATTCTACCTCAGGCCCAGTCTCGTGCAACTCCATACTCTTCAAAAATTACAAAAAAAATTATCTCAGGTCGTTAGTATTCTATGAAAGAGCCTGGACACAGGTGTTATCCCAAAGCCATTACAAACTACCGATATTGTCCCACCTAACAAAGGTGGCAGTAAAGCAATCGCGAAAAACTATAGACCACTAACAGTACCCTCATAGATAGATAGGAGCTAGTGGAGGCAAATGGATTTTATGACTTGACGTGCTGTTGGAGTGTGAGCAAAGTAACATTTATGAAGACATTCAGGGAAACCGGTTAGCCTGACTTGAGTCATCGAACACAGAATCTGTTTGGCTACAGTTTCTCGAGGGACATGACAAATTAATTTTGGGTGTGATTTATAGGCTCCCAAACCTTGATAGGGAGGGCAGTAAGCTGTTATGGGACGAAATTCATAAGGCATCTAGATATGAAAATGTTGTGATAATGGGAGATTTTAACTTTAGACAAATTGATTGGAACAATATGACAGGAAATCTTGAGTCTAGTGACTTTCTTGATACGGTTCAGGATTGCTTTTTAGAACAGGTTGTGACAGAACCAACTAGAGGAAACAATCTGCTTGATTTGGTTCTTGCCAAGAAAGACTCACTAATTAATAATCTTGAGGTTAATGATGAGCTTGGGAAAGTGATCACAAATCACTTAGTTTTAGTATATCATGGAATTACCCAGATAACTGCAATCAAATCTCTGTCCCAGATTTTCGCTTGGCCGACTTCATGGGACTGAAAAATTACCTGGGTGGGCTAAATTGGGATGTCCTGACTATGGGTCAGGTAGGTGAGCTTGGTTGCCAATATGACGTTTTTCAGAGCATAGTTCTAGCTGCCAAGACAACTTTTGTTCCGAGTAGGGAAATTAGATCTAACAAAAATGATCCCAAATGGATGAACAATAGATTAAAACATCTCATTGGTCAAAAGAGAGGCATATACAGGCGTTTCAAAAGAGGGGATGGGCAGTTAAGAAATCAATATATTCAATTAAAGAGAGAAATAAAGAAAGGAATAAGAAAAGCAAAAAGGGATTATGAGGCTAAGGTCGCAAGGGATTCAAAGACTAACCCTAAAGGATTCTTTCAGGTATACAGAAGTAAGATTAGGGACAAGATTGGCCCACTTAAGAGTAACTCTGGTCAGATCACTGACAGTGGTAGGATATGTGTGAAATTCTAAATACCTACTTCCTCTCAGTTTTCACCCAGGAAAATACTAGCGATATTCCTGAAATAATAGATTATGTAGAACAGGACGATAATAAACTATGTACGATTGCGGTAACTAGTGACATGGTCCTCAGACAAATAGAGAAACTAAAACCTAACAAATCCCCAGGCCCTGATGAACTGTTTGAAGGGTGTTAAAGGAATGTAAAGAGGAACTTAGCATACCTTTGGCTAATCTTTTTAACATATCACTACAAACTGGAATAGCGCCTGATAAGTGGAAAATGGCAAATGTAATACCTATTTACAAGGCAGGTGACAGGTCCTTGGCTTCGAACTATAGACCAATAAGCCTTACCTCCATAGTGGGAAAATTTATGGAATCGATAATTACCGAAGCAATTCGTAGCCATCTTGACAGGCACAGATTGATTAATGAATCTCAACACGGTTTTACTAAGGGGCGTTCCTGTCTTACGAATTTACTAACTTTCTCACTAAGGTGTTTGAGGAGGTAGATCATGATAATGAATATGATATTGTGTATATGGACTTCAGTAAGGCTTTCGATAGAGTTCCACACCAGAGGCTATTGAGGAAACTTAAGGCACACGGAATAGGAGAAATTTTTTCCTGGGTAGAGGCATGGCTGACAAATAGACAGCAGAGAGCTTGCATAAATGGGGAGAAATCAGAATGGGGGCACGTCACAAGCGGTGTTCCTCAGGGGTCAGTGTTGGGCCCGTTGTTCACAATTTACATAAACAACATAGATGTGGGAATAAATAGCGACATAAGCAAATTTGCTGATGACACCAAAATAGGCCGTCCAATTCATTCTAATGGGGACACTAGAGCACTCCAGGATGATTTGAATTGACTGATGCAATGGTCGGAGAAGTGGCAGATGCAGTTTAATATTGACAAATGCAAAGTTCTAAATGTTGGACAGGTAAATAACCATGCCACATATAAACTAAATAATGTAGATCTTAATACTACTGATTGCGAAAAGGATTTAGGAGTTCTGGTTAGCAGTAATTTAAAACCAAGACAACAGTGCAATAGTGTTCGCAATAAAGCTAACAGAATTCTTGGCTTCATATCTAGAAGTATAAATAATAGAAGTCCTCAGGTTGTTCTTCAACTCTATATATCCTTGGTTAGGCCTCATTTAGACTATGCTGCTCAGTTCTGGTCACCGTATTACAGAATGGATATAAATGCTTTGGGAAATGTACAGAGGAGGATGACAAAGATGATCCCATGTATCAGAAATCTTCCCTATGAGGGGAGACTGAGGCCTTGAATCTGCACTCTCTAGAAAGGCGTAGAATTAGGGGGGATATGATTGAGGTGTATAAATGGAAAACAGGAATAAATAAAGGGGATGTAAATAGCGTGCTGAAAATTTCCAGCCAAGACAGGACTCGCAGCAATGGTTTCAAGTTGGAAAAATTCAGATTCAGATAGGATATAGGAAAGCACTGGTTTGGTAATAGAGTTGTGGATGAGTGAAACAAACTCCCGAGTACAGTTATTCAGGCTAAAACGTTGTGTAGTTTTAAAAATAGGTTAGATAAATATATGAGTGGGTGTGAGTTGGACCTGACTAGCTTGTGCTGCTGGGTCTGGTGCCGTGCTCCATCCTTGACTGGAGGTGATCAGACTGGGTGGGTCATTGGGCTAATCCGGGGGGGGGGGGACATGGACCTGCTCCGCATGGGTCAGTAGGCCTGTTGCAGTGTTCCTTCCTTCTTATGTTCTAATGTTCTTAAGTGGGAAATACAGTGCCTGCACTCTGTTTTGAACTGCAGCATCGGCACGCCTCTGGCAAGGCAGTGATGGAGTAAATGATGATGAAAATGTTTCTTCTTTTTATTGGGTCACCCTGCC